GTGTAAATGCTTGTACATCTTGTCCCATTGTTAAGATTACTTCAGTATTATACAAATACATGAATAAATTTTTTTTCACCAAACATTGAGAGGAATTTTATTGTTTTATTTTAGCAGCCCAAAGTTGTTTTTAACATCATATTCTTAATAGTTTCCAATACACGACACAAGATGTACAGTATTTAAATAAGAATCCTAATTCTGACTAATCACAAAACAGAAAAGAAAAACACAAGTTCAGCACGATATCATCCACTGTTCAACTGGAAATAAAGGTAAGTAACAAACAAGCGTTATCCAATCATCCTTCAATATTCACTGGAATGTTTTCACTCCGAGATGTAAAGAAGAAAACAGACTGGCATGACTGTATAACTGATTATTTACAAACAAGAACTTACTGACCTTCTTGTAAATATCTCTATACCTTTGACAAAACCTTCTATAAGTATTTTGGATCTTTTTTATCAATATATAAACATTATGTTTTCTTAATGAAATCCTTGTATTAATATTCATGAAGAGACACTTCAAACGTATATTCTAAGTTTAAAAATGTTACTCTTAACTTCAAATCTAGCATGTATTTAGAATAGTATCTTGTCTTCAAATGCTGCCAGCTTGTTAAACCCTGTTTTCTTCAAATTTTATAAATTAATGGTAAAGTACACTAATATTAGTAAACAGTTCTTCTACAAATGTCAAACACTAGTCATAAAATCAAGTCATATTTAGAACTTTATAGAGGTATGTCAAAGGGTAAATTGTTATTACTAAAAATCCAAACAATAACTTTACTCTTACTTTAAAAGTAAATATTTATCAGCAGGTTAAAGTAATGATACAGAATTATAGGACAAAGCAAACGGTAGTTTACTTACTGTACATAGTAGTGATGAAAAGTTTTTATCTGGGAGATACAACACTAACGGATAACATTATCTCCCACAATCATTTCTACACATGTAGTAACTATATAATTAATGTTTATCTATCAACTTATTGCCACAATCATTTCTACACATGTAGTAACTATATAATTACTTT